GTACTCTTTAAGCAGTGTATGTGTTAATACATTTTATCTCGACAACCCTAGGATAATAATATTATTCTAAATTTGCAGACAGGGAACAGAAACAAAAATGGTAAACAACTTGACTCAGGCCACACAACTAGTTAGTTGTACAATTAGGAATTCAACCCAGGCATCCTGATTTCAGAGCTCATGTCCTTATTCACCTTAATGCCTCTTTCGTTTTCATTCTTTTGTGGCTAAAATATCTTTTGTCAGATTTTAGATTTTCTTTTTATCTTTGGAGCACTGAAATTTTATCAGGATGTATCTAGCTGTAGCTTTCTCTTTTTTCATCAAACTTGTTTTGTTTTTGGAGAACCTTTTTAATCTAGGGACTCATATTTTTCTTTGGCCCTGAGACAGTCTTCTTAAATTACATCTTCTCATTTTATGTTTTTGATTATTTTTATCACCCATTCTGGTATCCCAGTTATTTCCTCCTGGATTTCCTTTTAATGGCTTCTATAAGCTTTGATCAATCTTTCATGTGTATTAATGTTTCTCTTATTTTTATCTCATTGTGTTTCTGGACTCTGTCTTTTAACTTGGGATTCTGTGTTATTGAATTTATAATTTATAATTTATTGAATTTATAATTTATTTCATATCTGCAATCTTGCTTTTTTATTGCATTTTAGGTTTCAGGGTACATGTGAAGAACATGCAAGATTGTTGCATAGGTACACACATGGCAGTGTGGTTTGCTGCCTTCCTCCCCATCACCTTGCATTTCTCCCCATGTTATCCCTCCCCAACTCCCCACCCCCCCGTTGTCCCTCCCCTATTTCTTCCCGACAGACCCCAGTGTGTGATGCTCCCCTCCCTGTGTTCTCATTGTTCAACACCCGCCTATGAGTGAGAACATGCGGTGTTTGATTTTCTGTTCTTGTGTCAGTTTGCTGAGAATGATGGTTTCCAGGTTCATCCATGTCCCTACAAAGGACACAAACTCATTGTTTTTGATGGCTGCATAATATTCCATGGTGTATATGTGCCACATTTTCCCTGTCTAGTCTGTGATCGATGGGCATTTGGGTGGGTTCCAGGTCTTTGCTATTGTAAACAGTGCTGCAATGAACATACGTGTGCATGTGTCCTTATAATAGAATGATTTATAATCCTTTGGATATATACCCAGTAATGGGATTGCTGGGTCAAATAGAATTTCTGTTTCTAGGTCCTTGAGGAATCGTCACACTGTCTTCCACAATGGTTGAACTGATTTACACTCCTGCCAACAGTGTAAAAGTGTTCCTATTTCTCCACATCCTCTCCAGCATCTGTTGTCTCTGCATTTTTTAATGATCGCCATTCTAACTGGCGTGACATGGTATCTCAATGTAGTTTTGATTTGAATTTTCAAGAGTGCTTTCTTGTTCCTATATTTTCTTCTTTTCAACAGCAGCATGCAAGTTCTTATTTCGTAGATTCAATATCTTTGATTCTCTATGAAAATTCTAGTCGGAATTTTTAAAAGTTCTCTTCTGCTTTTTTTAGAATATTTTGATTTTTTTAGTTTGTTTATTTCTTTGTCTTTATTTTTGGTGTTTATTTTCTGTCTGATCAGTATTTTATATCTGATGATCCTAACATTTATATGGATATTATACATTTTAAAAATTACAGTGCTTACTAAAAAAGCTGATTGAGGTTTTCCTAACCTGTCTCTCTCTTAAATGGGAGGGAGTCTTTGAATGACCACTCCACTCACTCCTTCTGGTCTCATCTAAAATGTCACTTTCTTGGAGATATTGTCTGTAGCAATCCTGTCCAATTCATTAAAACTCTTTTATTTTTTAAATCATACTTAACTTTTACATATTTAAAGTTTCATTTTTTTTTCTACTAGATGATAAGTTCCTAGAGTACAGCAAAGCCTACTTTTGTCCTTTTCAGTGTGCTCCCGCGCCCAAGAGCAGTGCCGTCACGCAGCAGGTGTTTGTTCATTCAGTAGTTGTTGAATAAATGCATTCTGCTTTCTGTCCCTTCAGTTTCACAGAGACTGTACTTACTTTGGCTATAAATACTTTTCTACCTACCAATCCTGTGGCAATATTGAGTTTCTATATTTTGCTGCTGTTCTTTATGGTTGGTATGAAGTGAAGACGTGAGTTCTCCCAGAATCGGCTCCCAAAACAGGGATTTGAGTGCAAATGGTTCATTTTGGTGTTACAGAATGTCCTGGAGACCGGAGAGACCAATGGATGAAACAAGAGGATTTTATTAAGGTGCCCACCGGCTCAGCAGATTAGCATCCCAAGGCTGAGGCCCAGAGAAAGAAAATGGGGTACTTTTATACATCCAAGATGACATAGCAGCTAACAGGTTTACAGAAGTCAGAACAAAGAATAGTTAATTAATTTGTAACATGTCTTGTGATGTATATCACATTTGAAAAATAGCGTTTTGAGGAACTCATTGTAGATTTTTTGGGTGTTATCTTGCCCTGTGACATTGCAGCTGGTTAGCAAGGAAAACAGGAGTCTTGAGATGCCTGGGAACTTTGCTGAGAATGTGGGAAGAATAGATAAGGTAGGTTGTACAGGGAGGAAGTTAATTTTAAGCAGTGCTAGGGGTTAGGTTTTATATTAAAAGCATACAACACAGCAAAATGTATTTTTTATATAGGAACTACAAATTTTAAGGTTTTGTTTTTACTATTACTGCTATTATTTAATTCCCTTCTTCATTGGGAGTGATCAGTAGTGGCCAGAAACTTATTTTGGGAGTGACCCAGAGTTACTAATCAGCAGCCTTCACTGATTTCTTCTACCTGTGATATATACTCATTTCGTCAGTTATCTTTAGTAATCAAGTGACTTCATATTTCTATTTCTAGCCCAGAAACCTGGCCACCTTTTAGCATGCTTTGTCCAAGCCCCATCATCCATCCTCTTGTTCTTGCTAGGATCTGAGGCGTCATCCATGACACCCCCACCTCTCCCTTCCCATGTGGAATCTATTGTCAAACTATGTCACATTTATCTTCACAATGTCCCTCTGATAAATCCACATCTCTCCACGTCTGAATAGCATCACATTAGTTCAAACCACCATCGTCTTTCTGCAGGATAATTTCAGTAGCTTTCTCTATGTACTTCCCCATCCAATCTCTTCTCTGTACTAAAGATAGAGTAATGTTTACCAAATGCAAGTGTGATCAAATTACAACCAGTTTAAAACCCATCAATGGCTGAATTGTGACCTGAAGGTAAAGACGAAACACCTTAAAATTCCTTAAAAGACTGCATAGCTTCCTTTTCCTCTATCCTTAGCTGACCTTTTTCTGTATCCTTATCTGACCTTATTTATCCTTTTCTCTAACCTTATCTGAAACAGCCTTACCCTCTGCTGCAGCCACACTAATGTCTTTTCTGAATCTGGTACTTTCCATACTGTCCCCTGTCACAAGACCTTTGCACATGCTATTCCCTTTGCCAAGAATACTTTGTGTTGCTTTTTGAGGGGCAAATTAACTATAAGGGAGCGTTCTTTCCTTCAGATCTCAGCTCATGCATTAATTCTTTAGGGAAGCCACACCCACATCTGTGCCTTTTCTCACATTTGTGGTTTGAAATTCTTTGTATGATTATTTGATCAATCTTTGCTTTTTTACTAGACTGCTTGCTCTGTGGAAATTGTAACCATATTTTTTGGGTTCATTTTCTTTGTTTTAGGAATAAGTAGAGTTCTAATTTTTTTTCTTTTGTTACAGGGGTGCCATTCACAGCAAATATAGGCATTTTAGAGGTGCCAAAATAAAATATATCAGCCATATTTAATAAATTCCACTTCTACTCTTCTACCCTGTAGCCCCAGAAGCAGCAACAATGGGTAATTCTTAATCTTTGATATTAGCAGTCTATAAAACAACAATCTTGTGAGATATTGAGATTCAGTAATATTACAAAGTAATTGGATATCCATATTTCCTTTTCTTAATAATTACTAAATTATATATACATGTAAACATATTGATGGTTCAAAATCTCTTTTTTTAGGGTTAAAGGATCATGCAGTATTTTTCAGGAAAATGACAGAGTTAATTTTGTATGAAATGCCAAAAGCTGGGTAAGTATGTGAATTAAAAAAGAAAGAGCTATACTATTATAGCTCTTAACCCATATACACATACAGGATCACTCAACTATTTGTCTTGGAGCAGCTTGGAGATGATGGGAATGCACTCGTCTTCCTAGAGTTGTCATGGCTGTCACTGAACAGATTATTTCCTAAAGCAATCAGACTTCTGGAGCTGGGGGTTATATATGCGCTTATCCAGAATAACAGCCTTTAGAATCATATTCTCAAGTTCAAATCCTGGCTCTGCCATTTAGCATTGGATAAATTCCTTTGTCTCTCTGGGCCTAATTTTCTTGTAATAAAATAGTAATTGTGCTATCTCCTTCTTATAAAGGACAGTTGCTTAAATGAAGTACTGTATTTGAAAAGACATCGTAGACTGACATGAGGCATGCAACAAATAGTAGCTTATGCAGTAATAATAACAACAGCAACAAAGTCTCTGTGGAAATCATCTGTGATTTTTATTCTATTTTATTTTAGGTATTCCAGCATATTAAATGATTTCGTGGAATCTAATTTTTTTGTGATTGATGGAGACTCCTTGCTTGTCACATGCCTATGTGTAAAATCATTCAAGTGGGGACAGAATCTCCATTTCTTCTATCTGGTTGAATGCTATCTTGCGGATCTTATGAGTAACGGAGGACAATTTTCTATAGTTTTCTTCAAGGTAATATATGATGATTGATGTCTTTTTAATCCTTTGAAAACTATAACTGAAATCTCTTAAGCTAAAGAGTATTTTGCTTAAAATGAAGCATGTCATCATGGAAAATATAAAAAGGCAGATTAACAAAAGAAAATATTACCCATGATTTCACTACTCAGAGATAGCCATTCTTTATTTTTTATTTATTAAGTTTTTTTTTTTTTTTTTCTCAACTGTATGTTCGCACATCCACAATATAGAGCAGGCACAAGGTCTGGGCTGAAGTATATATAGGTAGGTTTACTCTAGCTCCCTTTCTATATAGTCAGTGTAAGAATTCAGTGTGTGGTAAGCACCAGGAAGCCCATTCTTTAGTTTTCAATATTTTATTATAAAAATTTCAAATATAGATAAGTTGAAAGGTTGTGTAGCAAATATCTATATCTCCACCATCTAAATCATACAATTACATTTTATTATATCTGTAAACTTATCCATGCCTTTGAATAACTCCTTTTTTTTGGGGAGGGGTACATTTCAAAGTAGTTGTAGACATTGCATTTTACTCTTAAACATTTAAGCATACATGCCATTAACCAGAGTTCAGTACTTATCTGCAAGATTTTTTTTTTTTTTGGCGGTCAAATTTGCATGAAGTGAAATGCACAGATCTTAAATGTATTACAAAAAGTTTTTCACCAACCTAATGCCATTTAATGAGCTTCCAAGTGTGCATAGTGTTTACCAGTACATTGAGCTTTGACAAAGGTGTGCGTGTATAACCCAAACTTTTGTTCCACAGGGCGTCTTCTCATATCCCTATCAAGTTCATCCTCACTCCATCCCTCAGAAGCAACCACTGTTTAAATCCTTTCTATTGTATTTAGATTTACCTATTCTATAACTTTATTTATTTTATTTTTTTTTGAGATGGAGTTTTGCTCTTGTTGCCCAGGCTGGAGTGCAGTAGCGTAATCTTTGCTCACCACAACCTCCGCCTCCTGGGTTCATGTGATTCTCCTGTCTTAGCCTCCTGAGTAGCTGGGATTACAGGTCAATGCCACCACAGCTGGCTAATTTTTGTATTTTTAGTAGAGACGGGGTTTCATCATATTGGTCAGGCTGGTCTCGAACTCCTGACCTCAGGTGATCTGCCTTCCTCGGCCTCTCAAAGTTCTAGAACTTTTAATAAGTAGAATTTTACAGTATGAACTATTTGTATAAACCTTCTTTCATTCAACATAATGTTTTTGAGAGGTATCCATTTTGTTGTGTGTATCAGTATTTTGTTCCTCTTACCAATTTTGAGTAAGGTTTTTATTGTAGAAATGTACCATGGTTTGTTTACCCATTTTCCTGTTGAGTGAACACAGGCTCTTTCAATATCTTACCTAGATGAATAAAGGTACTATGTGCAATTACACACAAGTCTTTGTGTGGATGTAAGTTTTCATTTTCCTTATGCATATATCTGTGATTGGAAAATATATTTTATAAAACTGCCAAAACTTTTCCTAAGGTCATTGTGCCCTTTTATACTCACCCCAGCAATGACTAAGAGTTTCTGGTGCCCCATGTAGTTGCAAACATTTGTATTTGGTCAGTCCAGCCATTTTGGTGGATGTGTAGTGTGATGTTCCTGTGTTTCAATTGGTATTTATCAAATGGCTAATGATGTTGCCTACTTTTTCAAGTGCTTATTGTTCATCTGTATACTGTCACTTGTGAAGCATCTGCTCATATCTTTTGACTGGTTTAAATTGAATTCTTTATCTTTTTAATATTGAGTTGTAGTAGTTCTGGATATATTCTGTGTACAACATGTGGTCATATATATTATTGCAAATATATTTTCTCAGTCTGTGGCTTGCCACTTCGTTTTCTTAATGCTAGCTTTGGATGAGCAGATATTTTAGTTTTGATGAAGTCTAATTTATTATTCTTTAATGGTTATTGTGCCTATATCCTGATAAGAATCATTGCCTGTCTCTTAGTCATAAAGATATAGTCATGAAGATAGTCTCCTATACTTATTAATAATTCTAGAAGCATGTAGTTTCAGCTTTTACATCGGTCTATGATATGTCTTGAATTAATTTTTGTGTCTGTGTGGTGTGAATTAGGAATTGAGGTTCATTTATTCCAGCATCCATTGTGGAGACTGTTTTTCTTCTACCAGTAGAATGCTTTGGTTTCTTCATCAAAAATCAAATGATTATATATGTGTGGGTCTATTTCTGGGCTTTCTGCTATGTTCCATCAAAAGATTTAACAAATTATCAGTACCACAATGTCCTGACTCGTGTAATTTTATAGTAAATCTTGAAACCCATTTGTTCTTCTTTAACTTTCACTATTCTAGGTTCTCTGCATTTTCACACAAATTTTAGAATGAGTTTACCAATTTCTATTTAAAAAGAACAATGGGGTTATAATTGATAGTCATTACATTTGTAGAACAATATAGTCTTTCAGTTAGTGAACACAATATGTAGCCGTTTTTTATTTAAGATCTCCAATTTCTCTTATCAGTTTTGTAGTCTTCATTGTGGAGATGTTACACATCTTTTGCTAAATATATTTCAAGATATTTCATGTTTTGATCTTATCATAAATTGAACTTTTAAAAAATTTTGTATTTTTTGCTGTTTGTATGTAGAAGTAGAATTGGTTTTTGTTAACTGGTATCCTGCAATCTTATCAAAGCAACTTATTAATTTTAGTTGCTGATTTGTGTATTTCTTAGATTTTTCAAAATATTTAGTGAATAAATATATGCTTATTTCTTATTTTTCAATTTAAAAAAATTTCTTTTTCTTGCCTTATTACAGTGACTGGCACTTCTAGTAAATGTTGAAGTAGAGTGAGTGGGCATCTTTACCTGGTCTTTGATCTTAAAGGGAAAGCGTCCATTATTTCCCTGCTAGGTGTCATATTAGCTGTAGTTATATATACCCATTATCAAATTGAGGAAATTTCTTCTTATTTTAAGTTTTCTGAGAATTTCTATAATGAGCAGGTGTTACATTTTTAAAAAATGCTTTTCCTATTATCAAATTGAGGAAATTTCTTCTTAAGTTTTCTGAGAATTTCTATAATGAACAGGTGTTACATTAAAAAAATGCTTTTCCTACATGTATTGAAATTCTGATAGAGTGTTCCTCTTTTATTTTCTTAATTTGGTAGATTACATTAAGAGATTGTTAAATATTAATTCAATTCAATCTTTTATTCCTGGGAAAGTCTCAATTGGTCATGATAGATACTTTCTTTAATATATTGCTGAGTTTGATTTCCCAATATTTTAAGCTTTTTAAGTATATAGTCGTGAAAAATATTAATCTGTAATTTTATTTATTTATTTATTTGAGATGGAGTCTCACTCTGTCACCCAAGCTGGAGTGCAATGGCTTAGTGTTGGCTCACTGCAATCTCTGCCTCCCAGGTGTAAGCAATTCTCCTGTTTCAGCCTCCAGTGTAGCTGGGATTACAGGCATGCGTTACCATGCCTGGCTGATGATTTTGTATTTTTAGTAGGGACAGTGTTTCCCTGTGTTGGCTAGGCTGGTCTGGAACTCTTGACCTAAGGATTCTGCCAGCCTCGGCCTCCCAGAGTGCTGGGATTACAAGTGTGAGCCACCGTACCCAGCCAGTTTTATTTTATTTTTTATAGTGTCTTTGTCTGGTTTTGGTATTAGGATCATGCTGATTTAGTGAATGTGTTGAAAAGCCCATTTTCCTCTTCTGTTTTCTGAAAAAGTTTTTGTAAGATTAGTATTATTTCCTCAGACAAATCTGATAAAATTTGATAAAATTTTCCTGTGAAAGCATTTGGGTCTGGAGTTTTCCTTTGAAGAAAATTTCTGATAACAAAGTCAATTTCTTTAATAAATGTAGGGCCATTTAGATATTTTGTTTTACCTTGTGTCAGTTTTGTTAATTGTATATGTCAAAGAATTTGCCCATCTTATCTAAGTTATCTAATATTTTGGCATAAAGTTGCATATAACATTCTCTTATTTTCCTCTTATTGCCTAAAGATTTGTAGTGATGTTAGTGTTAGTTAGGTCCCTCTTTTATTTTTATTTTTTGAACAGAAGCTAAATTTTCTTTTTTTAAAGTTCAAGACAGGGACTCACTCTAACTCCCAAACTGGAATGCAGTAGTGTTATTTTGGCACACTGCAACCTCTGTGTCCTGCGCTCAAGTGATCCTCCACCTCAGCCTCCTGAGTAGCTGGGACTACAGCCGTGAACATGGTTGACTTATTTTTGTATTTTTTGAAAAGATGGGGTCTTGCTGTGTTGCACAGGCTAGTCTCCAACTCCTGAACTCAAGCAATCCACCTACCTGGGGCTCTCAAAGTTCTGGGATTATAGGCATGAGCCACTGTGCCTAGCTACTAAAGATTTATTTTTTCATTTTTTTTTTCCAAATTATGCAGTTTTACACTGAATGACACAGAAGGAAACTAAAATTACCGACAGTTTATATGTAAGCTTGGTTCCTGTCTTAAGGAAAAGAAGAACAGAACAAAACCAACATGTATTCTAACAAAACATGTTAGAACATGTTTTGTTAGAACAAAACCAAAAACCCTCTAAAAACTTTCACATTACAGTCCCATTTTGTCGACTGGCAGCTGTCTCTGTCCCTTAAATCTTTGATTATCTGCTGCTTTCTGTGTAACAGGCTACAAAGCACACAGACTGTAACTATAGCTTTCCAAAAAGGGATACATGGACCATATATACCCATCACCCAGATACTCTAAACCAGTTTTGAAACATAAACTGCAGAAATCCTGACTAATACAGCAAAAGACTTTTTTTTTTTTTGGCCAGCTGCTAGTGACAACCAATGATGCAATGACAGGAGGGTACTCATCAGAAACATGACATTAACTCTTCAAAGCAACTGCTGTACTTGAAATTCACATCTGGTGAGGGAATAGATTTTTATTTTTCTATTTCCAAATGATAAGTATCATTACATAATTTTACAAATTAAAATGCCATTTGTCATTGTTATATCTCTGATTCTATAACCTGATATACTGCTAAGGGAAAATAAGGAGTTAACTTTTTAAAACATGTATGAAAGCCATATCTGCTGTATGTGACACAGCCTCACAGATTCCCTACTGTGATAATTTCCATTTTATTCTGCCTTCATTTATCCTTTATACTGCTAACTTGTGTCTTCTTTCTTCTTGATTAATCTAGTTAGTGATTTATCAATTTTGTTGATGTTTTCAAACACCTAGCTTTCTCATTTTGTTAATTTTCTGTATTGTCTTTTTTTCTTTTTAATTTCACTGATTTCTACTCTTGTCTTTATTTGTTTCTCTTGGATTTTTCTTACT